ACCAAACAATGGCTTGTCTTGTGAGAACATCACAGTAGATGAACAGAGTCTAAATTTTTCACATAATGTTAAAATAAAAATAAACACGTCTGTTTATATCTAGCAACTGTTTTAATATTGGTACATTTCAACATGAGAAATTCCCAAGCCTTCTTGCCCATTGCACAAGTGAAGGTTTTTTTCAGTCTCAAAATGCTCTTATTACAAAACACACTTAAAATGAGCTCAGCAGCAATCAATAAGCATATCTTTAGCCTTTGTCTACTTGGAAAAATCAATTGGGTTGAAAAGATGGAGTATTAATGTGTAAAGGAACTGTACATAGATTTTACAGTGGTAGGTTTGTTATATGACCAAGTATAAAATAAAGCAAGACTCGAAGGGGCCGTCCAACTCAACCAGAGGTGCTCCCTTCAGACTCCCTAACTCTCCAAAGGCACAAAACCTTACAACCCTGCTATTACCTTATCATTAGCTTGCATTTCCAGAAGGAGAAAAATCCATTGCAAAGAGAAATGGTTAGATTTTAAACACCAAATCTAAGGTGATTTATCTTATCAGCAGTTTCTTCATTAACTCTTTTGCTAATAAAGGCAAAATTTCATTAAAGCGAGCCCCATCGAGGCTCCTATTTTGGGGTGGAAGCATTATGAACACGCTGCTGTAAATTGCTTTTGGTTCCACTGAACTAGGAAAACAGCTGGTGTGTGGCTTCTCAGTAGCATTAGGAGGGCAAATGGGAAATCTGCAATGAACCTCGGGACTCAGGAGGATGAAAGGGCAGGTGCCCTTCTCTCCATCTAAGCAGGTGGGTCTTTAGGGAGCTCCAGGATTTATTTAGTTGGCCTTGCTGGATTGGAGTGCTAGGGGAGAAGTTGAAAAGAAACATGGACTTTGGGACTGGAATCATTTTGAGCACCCTAGTCAAGTTTTAGTTTGTGATGAAGATCCCCTGGGGGACTCTTAAACAGGCAGATTCCCAGGCCCCAGGCACAATGATAGTTCTCATAGATCAGGCAGTAGGCCTTTTCACAAGCAGGTCATTTGGGGGCAGGCCTCTTCCTGAGGACTTTGTCTGACTTTACTCAATTAATAACCACATAAGACTCCCAGATCTCTATTTCCTACCCTAATCCCTCACCAGCATTTTAGACATAAATTTCCAAAGACTGCTGGACATACTGCCAGGACAGAACTGAAAATAAACACTAGATCCAATAACTAAGAAATTCTGCAAAATGGTATTCCACAGTCTGCACTTTTAAGACTCAAAGTTATTCTAAAGCACAGTGAAGTTTGAGAACCACTGGTACAGAGAATAGAAGAGGTACAATGGTAGAATCTCGATAAACATTTCCACTAGAAGGAAAAGAAACCAGGGAAGTGTCAGTTAAAAGAAGGAAGGGCTTAGTAGGAAACAAAGAGCCTTAGGAAGAAGAGGGGTGTCCAAAACTATAGGAGTTGGGATGAGTATAATAGGCCACCAATTAAGGGTAAAAAGATGACTTTTGAGAACACTGTTTAAAGCCACTGACAAAAGTGAACACTAGGTTAAAAGGGATTAAGGCTGAGAAGCTGATGTAGAGAAAGCAACCAGTGTCCATCCTTTCAGTACCACAGAGCAGTGGATCACGGGACACTTATTTTTTAAGGATGGGGAGATACGAACATATGCAGATCGAAGGAGGGAGCCAACAGGACTCAAGAGTCTGCAAATGAAACCAAGAAGAAAATAATGGCCCTAGGGCCGGCCCGTGGCTCACTCGGTAGAGTGCGGTGCTGATAACACCAAGGCCACGGGTTCGGATCCTATATAGGGATGGCCGGTTTGCTCACTGGCTGAGCATGGTGCTGACAACACCAAGCCAAGGGTTGAGATCCCCTTACCGGTCATCTTTAAAAAAAAAAAAAAAGAAAATAATGGCCCAGCTTCCCAGGGATGGCCTCGCTTTCTCTCTCTCTCTCTCTCTTTTTTTTTTTTAGGTATGACACCCACACACACTGACTGACCAACCTTCTTAGTAAAAATCTGATTTAGAGGCAATCATTTAATCAGGGGTTAGCAAAATTTTCCTAATGGGCCTGACAGTATTTTTAGGCTTTGTGGGCAAAAGGCAACATTGAGGATAGGGCCGGCCCGTGGCTCACTCGGGAGAGTGTGGTGCTGATAACACCAAGGCCATGGTTTGGATCCTATACAGGGATGGCTGGTGAGCTCACTTGGGAGAGCGTGGTGCTGACAACACCAAGTCAAGGGTTAAGATCCCCTTACCAGTCATCTTTAAAAAAAAAAAAAAAAGACATTGAGGGTATTATGTACATATTTATATACCATTTAACACAGAAAAAAAAAAAGAAAAACATTTCTAGCTTGCAGTCCATAACAAAAATAGGCAGGGGGTCAGACTTGGCCCACGGGTCATACTTTGCCCATCCAATTTAAACCACAGACCTGGGTTCTCCAACTTGAGTTGTACAAACGCTGTGTGGTTTATTATTTTATCAATGACTTGCTGATGATTTCATCTCCACACATGGATCTTATTCTTTTAAACTGCTGAAAGGATCGTACAGTGTGTATCTCCATGACTTATCTGTTCTCCTACTAAGCCATTTCTGCCCAGCACATCCCTGCCATTGCCTTCTTGTACATTCTCCCTAAAGCACTGAATGAGGTAGCTGGGCTTGTCATGCCCTTGTCAAAAATTTGTAATTTAATTTTTATTTTCTAATAATTCCAGGTTATTTAAAGTTATGACTAGCTTTTATTTTGTTTTGTTTTTCTTTATTTTATGACTAGCTTTTTTATATCCTATCTTTTTGTTGTTTATTTATCTACTTATCATTGTATTTAGTGAATGCTGCCTGTAAAATTTTGTCTTTTTAGAATCTGTAGAAATGCTAATGACCATTCATTTGCACTCGAAAAGAAACAAAAAGCTCTCTCTGTATATATCAAATTTGTTAATTATGCTATCCACATCCTCTACATCTGTTCTTGCCTTCTCCTAGTTGACTTGTTGATTTCCAAGTCAGCACCTATGGTTATGGCTTCGTCAATTTTTTTCATTGCATTTCTATTTGTTTTGCTCTATATAGTTCCCAGTTATGCTGTTAGGGACATAAAGTTCATGACTATTGGACCTTCTTGGTGAACTCTTCCATTTTATGAGATATCCTTTAAAATTATTTTTGCTTTTAATTCAGTTTTGTTAGATATTAACATTGCTATTCCTGCTTTTCTTTTTGTACCATTTGTATAGTTTTTTTTAATATAAGGTCTTATTTCCACTTTCCTGTGCTGCTTTGTTTTAGGTGTTTCTAACTTTATAGCTGGGAATGAAATATTTCTTTGGCTCTATTGGAACATCTTTTATTTTTAATGGGTGAATTTAACCCATTTGCACCTACTAATACTACTGTTTGACTATATTCCTACCTTATTTTGTTTTCTACTTAACCATGATTTCTTTAAAAAATATTGTAAAGTTAGTTTTTTTCTTTATATTGCGAGCTCTCTGTACAAATAATTGCAAATCAAACATGCTGCAGCCACTGCTCAGATTTTTATTTTCTGCTTTCCTGTCATTCTTCCCACACCAGGGCAGCTTACATGTTCTTAATTTTTTTCCCCCCAAATCAAGAGCCAAACATGGCATAATACAGCATGTCCCAGGTGGAACTCTAAAAGAAATGACATGTTTTAGGTGTTTACTTAGTTACCATCTTAGTACTTTTCTTGTCCCTCGAATTGCATTTGCCTGCTGCCTTGTCCACCTGCTCCCCATCCTTTCCTCCTAAACACACACGTTCCCACCACACCTACTTATTGTCTCACAGGCCCTGTTCTTAGCTAGTTTCTCTGCTTGAAAAGATTTGAAACTCATCCATGAAGAACTATTAGCTAAAAAAGGACTAGTTGGTAATGGCATTTTACTGGGAGGCTCCTGAAGATGAATAAGCCTTAAAGACCCAAAGGGATGAATCTAGGGGGGCCCGAGTTTGAACCCCTTTTCTGCCATGAACCAATAAGCATCTTATTTAGCCTCTCTATGCCTCAGTCTCCTTGCCTGTAAAATGGGGTAATAATAGCACCTACCTCATAGGGTTGTTGAGAGTTAATGTGTCGAGAGTGTAGAATTACTGGCACGTGGTAAGAGCTCAAGAGATGTTAGCAGTTATTGTTATCACTCTAATGGATCTAAAGAAATAATTCTGCATAGGGTTGACCCTGGTAGGTTTCTACTCAGTCTTTTTGTGGAGATACACTAATGAATACAGAAAAAAGACACCTGAGGTGGGCACACATCTAAATAAAGAGCTGTTCTTATTCATCTTTGCATGGTGGCTCAAAGCCCATAGCACCTTGGACATAATGACCACTCAGTACATGCTGCTGAATGGCAAAAAGAAAAAAAGTGACTGAAAGCCTAGATCCTAAAATAATGCAGAAAATAATGAGGAACAGGTAAGCTGAAATCTCCTATGGCTTTAGACTACAGTGTATCACTGAGTAAAAAGTGCAATAATATAAAATTTCCAAAAGTAATACTATAAAGCACAGGCATAAATACAAGCCAGATAATATCTGTCATGTGATGATGTGCTCAAAAGAGGTGATCCCTCAACTGAACACATGCTTATTTTGCCATTAAAAAAAAGAGTCCTGTGACAAAATGTTCTTTAACATCACGAATTTAAACTTGGTCTATATTACAAGGCCTCTTCTCTGAAAACAAACAAAATTGGCTTACCTGAATGGCTACTGGCTTGAAAACAAAGTTGTTGTATGTATCTGGCAGGAAGATTACATTAGTTTATTTCATCGGTATGTGCAACAAACAATTTTGCTTTCTCAGGATGGCAAAAATCTCCAGTTAATTTAGTGCTTTATTTTTTCATTCTCCATAAATACTGATTTTGTAACACTGAATATAGTCTGAAACATACCATTAAAACAAAACTTTGACTTCATGAAAGATCAGCAAAGATACATCAGCAAGGATATAACTAGTACATTTATTAAAATACATCATATCAGTGAAACCAAATGATCACACACAATAATCTTCACATTTCACATACAAGCTACACAGCCTAGGAGAGCTCACTATACGCCAGTGTCTTTGGCAAGTGATTAACACATGTAAGTGATGACACTTATCAATTATAATACTTCTTAAACATTAATTTTTTATCAGTTAAACTAAAATAAATCAACAAAATATAACAAGGATGAAATCCAACATTTGTTGAAATGAGAAAATGTTTAATAAGGAGAACACTGAATTGGGAACCACTGTGTGTGGATTCCTGTCTTTGTCTGTGGATGGATGATCTTGGGCAAGGAACCTAGGTTACTAAAGTGAATCCTTCACTTTTCAAATGATAGTTGGGTAGATGCTTCTCTCATCTTTCTAGGTTTAACTTTCCATGATTCAAAAATGTTTGACACTAATCCATTTTCATGCTATAAAATGAAATCACTAACAATACTAACCTGACAGCAGGGTTAAGTCCAGCTCCACCCACACAAATCTGAGCCCTAAGACAAACCAAACCTCAAATTAACAAACAATAACAACAGGCTTCAGGAGGTGAACGCTGTGATCCACCAAACACAAACTCAAGATAGTTTTAAAGATACTGTCCTTATGAGAAGAAAAGCTATAATGGGAGAACTACAGGGAAAACTCACAACATCCTCTTTGGTAAAACAATAAAATAACACAATGATTCACTAATAGAAGGTAGACACATATATTAACTATAATATATAATATAATTAATTTAAATTGTTCTTTGGGAATGTGCACAAGATATATACACAGAATTAAAACTTTATTAATACTAAATATAAATTCAAGGTCCACATGTATCTGGGAGGCTCGCTGATGCTGCTAATTTGAATATGAGGCTTATTGTACTTTCATGTATTTATAATGCTACAGGAAGAAGTTGGGATTCTTCTTACTAATGCGGGCTTCTACTCCATTATCTGAAAAGGCCACTTTTTCACATAATCACAGAAATTAAAGATGTCCAAGCCCCCCTTTAGGGCATTTCATCCATCCCCTACCTTTCTTATCAGATTACTGTCTTTTTGTTCTGAAAGACAGAATTGAGTGGGTTTTCATCATCTCCCTATTTGAAAGTCAAGTAGACTTTTATCTCTTTGGACCCAAGGCCTAAATTTGTTATTTCTTCCTAATATTTTAATATAATTCCTAACTCAATTATATTAACAGAATTTTGAATATTTAACTATAATTTGCATTGCAGAAATTAATCCAACTCAATAAACATAAATGTGCAAAGCAAAATTACTTTGAAAATGTCAGGTTTTCCTAACAAACATAATTATTTCATTAAAGTGCTAAAATGCTTCCCATTTAATAGTAATGATTATTTTAAGAAACTGCATGATACTCAAAACACTTTTCATCTCTAATCCATGCCCCTTTTTCAGGAAATACAAAACTCTCACTTCTCCACTATCCATCTGCCTCCTCAGGGGACTCAGGATCTATACCCCAGAAGGGTCTCTCCTCCTGAGTGAGAACCCTTAGTACTGAAGAAACGGCATCACCAGCTATTTCTTTTGTTGAGTTCTGCCTGCCTATGATTCGTATCATAAGACAATAGATTTTGCCTTCCCAAATATAAAATTATTTTAATGTTGAATATGCTTTTTCAAACTCTGTAGCCAATTTCTATCCCCTACTCCTTACGAGATCTCGATACATTACTTTATGGGGCAAGATATCTCTCTTGAGAATCACTGAACCAAAACCCAATTTCAGAATTATTCTTCAGGATAAAGCCCAATAACCAAGTTTGAGGAAACAGTATTCAATTAAAATACATAAATAAATTGTAGTATTGCAAATTGTACATGATAAAATGAATATGACAATATTGATTATCTTCTGATTGCTACACCAAATTATTATTATTTTGTGCTGAAACCAGGGAACAAACCATATACCAAATTATTTTATACTTGTAAACTACTGCAGAGACTTATTTTTAGCTTTTTTTTTTTTTTTTGGCAGCAGTTGGGTACAGGGAACTGAACCCTTGACCTCGGTATTGTGAGGCAATTCTCTAAACAACTGAGCTAACTGGTCAGTCCCCAGAGACCTGTTTTTAAAATAACCTGCTGAAACCATCACAAAACTTAACTTTTATGCAGGTCAATTATAGTAACAAATTGCATTGCTTTACTTTATAAAATGATGTTTTCTTCAAATATATGACCTACAAAGTTATACCCCTATTTTCCACTCATTCTCAGATATTTAGAACTAGAATTTTTAGATTTTTCTAAATAAATTTTTATTAGTTTCTACCTCATTTAGCAACTTAGAATTGAATCCATAAAGTATTAAATAAAAATTGCCCACTATAACAAATGTTTCTCTGACTGATGCCACAGGATAAAGATTTAATAGGAATATAAAATAGCTATTTCTATAAGTAATAGAAATGCTGATGAAGTGAAACTTCTGTATACTCTGAAACTAGAATGACAATATAAATATGTATAGAGCTATAAAAGCAGTTTTGGAGAAAATTTGGTTGCATTTCTTCCCAAATTTAAAAAACAATCTCCTGTGCTCGAGTTAAGCAGACTGAGGAGATAAAACAGAAAAGGTTTTCCCCAAGGTCTGTGAATAAGGGCTTAAATAAAATACTTTAGGCTGGCAGGTTAGCTCAGTTGGCTAGGGTGTGGTATTATAACACCAAGGGTTAGGATCCCCGTACCAGTCAGCCGTCAAAAAAAAAAAGAAAACAAAACTTCAATGCTATGGAGGTTTACTCTCCCAATGAGGCACAGTGGTTGAAAATTTTATACCAGTGACACCAGGGAGGGGTCCCCTTCCTATGGATGTCAGTCAGTATTCCCCATCGATGTGCTTTGCAATGGTGTTCAGCTGGATATTGGAAGTACCTTCATATATTGTACCTTAAACAAAAGGCAGCAAAAGAACAATCAGGAGTGACCCTTAGCTTAGAGTCTATACAAGAAATAGCTTTATCAACATTACCTCTGCACTTGCTACAAAACTGTTAACGGTAGATCATTCAATCAATGTCCTCTGGATATGGTACTGTTTAACAAAGTAATTTTGTCCAAGAGATGACAATTTTCCATTTGGTTTATAGATGTTCAGAATCAGTATTAAACAGTTGAAGGTTTTGGTTTTTAAAACTACCAATGCATAAGCTCAGACTGTTATTAAGGAACAGGCAGTTTTTGAAGCTGTTGTGTTTATTTTCCTATCTGGTAGCAGAGCCCTGGACCACTCAGGCTAGATTTAGGCACTTAGCTTCTGAAATTAGAACAATATTTCAAAGAACAGTATTAGACTATACTAACCAAAAATATTAAAAGTTTTAGTAAAAGAGAAATTAAGGTAGTAGATTTTGTTGCGGTTTTACTAAAAGGCCTGTTGAAGCATTTTCGAAGGCAATTTGATGTTTTTAAATATATGAGGGTACTTCAAAAAGTTCGTGAAAAAATGGAATTGAAAAGATAATACACATCTTTCCATGAACTTTTTAAAGACCTCTCATAGAAATCCATTTTTTTTTTGTAGGAAGAGGAAGAGAAAAAAGTCAGCCACAAGAGAAGAGGGCCAATCAGGATAGACTGAGGAGATTAAAACTGCCTTTGCCTAGGTAAGAGTATTGTAAAATCACCAAATACAATCGCTCAAAAACCTACAAAGACAAATGAAACAAAACAAAGTAAAATGTGAAAAATCTACTCACCGATCTTTGCATCTCGGAAGTATTTCTCCACAGGGTAATCTTTGGTGTAGCCTACTCCTCCCATCCACTCAATACATTTACTAGTTGTCAGCCCTGCAATCTACCCCACAAAAAACAGCAGCAAATCACACACTGAAACCACATGATTTATGCATTATAAACACATGGATTCACTGTTATTGGCAATCGGAAGGGCTGAAGTGATTCTATAAAGCAGCATTATCTCTGTAGTCCCATTCTCTATACCATTTCAGTAAAATAGCTTATTAATTCACAAAATTCCTATTTTCTTAAGAAAATTAGAGTATTGTTCACACTCATGCTTGCTGACAGATATAATTTATTCGGCAAATATTTATCAAGGGCCTTCTTTATACCACACACTCTGCCAGTCCCTGGGTATACAGTGGTAGGGGTGGGTAGTCACTGCCCTGTTGGTCCTGGTGGTCATTTAGAGACAAGCATTAAACCAACAAGCACTGAAACTGGTAAACCGCATGGGGCAAAAGACGAGCTTGCTAGGAATACCTGAGGAAATTACAGCGTATCTGAGACCTAAAGGATGAGTTAGGGGGCATTTCAAGCTGAAGAACCTGTGGAAAGGCTTCACAGGGAGACTGGCCAGCGGGTTGGGGTGAGAGCAAGCTGTGAAAAGATAATGGAGGGCAGGATGGCCTTACAGGATGGCGAGCAGTTTGAATACTGTAATGCCCCCTCCAAGATGTCCACATCCTCATCCCTAGAAACTGTGAACATGCTACCTTACATGGCCCTAGGGACTTTGCAGATGTGATTAAGTTAAGGACCTTGCGATGGGTGGGTCCAGTGGAATCACAAGCATCCTTATAAGGGAAAGAGAGAAGAGGCAGGAGTGTTAGTCATTGAAGGTGATGTAACCATGGAAATAGGAAGCAGGTCAGAGAGAGATATGAACATTTTATATTGTTGACTTGGAAGATGGAGGAAGGGGCTATGAGTCAAGGAATGCAAGCAGCCCCTAGAAGCTGGTAACAGATTCTCCCCTGGAAACTCCAGAAAGGCAACCCTGCTGACAACTTAATTTTATCCCATTGGGACCCATTTCAGATTTCTGACCTCCAGAAGTAAGAGATAATAAAATTGTATTATTTTAGGCTACTAAATTTTTGGGAATTTGTTATAGCTGTAATAGTAAACAAATACAAATATTCCATTTGTTATGAGAAGCCACTGAAGGTTTAAAGCTGGAGAGTGATGTGGTCTCATGTACACTTTGTAAAGGGACTGGAGGAAGAAACAGGGACCAAGAGAGCAGTCAGGTGACTGCAGTACTCGGGTTGAGATATGATGCAGCTTGCACCAGATAGGTGGTAGTGAAGAGGAACAGAGCTAAAGAAATTCAGATCATCTGGGGGTAGATTGTACATAGGAACTGATGATGGACTCGCTGGGGGGGATGAGGGAAAGGAGGTGTTGAGATGACTCTCAGGTTTCTGACTGGTGTGTTGGGTGGTGGGTAAAGCAGAAGTTGGATAGATTAGTCTGGAACTCGGAAGGGAGGCTGAGACAGGAGATTAAGTTTAGGGGCTAGAGAGGTAAAATAAGTATTTAAAGCCATGGAATGAGTGAGACATACTGGCGAGGCCGGGAAACAGCTGCCTAATGACTTGGTTAAGTTCTCCAACCCAAGCCTAATGTGTTAAGTATAGAATGCATATGTATGAACAGAAAGTAATACAAACATGGACAATCTTTCCTTGCTGTTTTTAATCTCATTTCCTCATATTATGAACACATCATCTTCCGCGGCATTCCCTTTGCTCCCACTTGAAACCCTGGGCATGACGCCATCATTCAGAGGAGGCTCACCCTTGGATTTGTGGTGGGTGGTCTACCTGAACTGGGCTACTCAGGAAAACAGTGAGACTTCACAGAATTAAAGCATTTTCCTATGGCAGCTTTACTTTTTTGTTTTTCTATTGTAGGAACTGGAAACTCCATGTTATCTTACTTGAATAACAACTAAAGATCAATCAACATTCCTAAGTGAAAAGGTAAATAAGCACATATCTGCAAAAAAAAAAGGTTGAGTTACTTTTTTTTTTTTACCTCTGATGCATAGTATTTGGCCATAGATGCTTCTTTTATGAATGGCCTTCCAGCTTCTACAAGCCTAGCAGCGTTGTATGTTAGTAATCTTGTAGCTTCCAGCTGGGTGGCCACATGAGCCACTTGGTGTTGGAGACCCTGTAACGTTCAGGCCCAAGTTAGATAGACGTGATTTCTAAAAACACAGCTCATTTACAGCCCTACCACCCTAATGCACCTGATCTTGCCTAAAAACACAGCTCATTCTCAAAGTCCTGCATGGATACACAATACTGACAGTCTCAAAATATATCCCAAAGAAATTCAATTTTTAAAAATACTTTAAAATGTGCAATATAAAAGGAAATATGACACTACTAGTATTGCTAAACCCTCTTTTCTTAGAAAAATTTCAAAGGGCATGTAATTCTTTATGATTGTCAAGATTTAAATAAATTATCATACGGTTAGGTTTAAAAACTTGACTGTTAATAATTATTTTCAACTCTGATCAAAATTGAGCTTAAAGTAAATCCTAGTATAGCAAAACTTTTAATACATTATTTGCTTAAATTAAGAAAGCTCTGATTCTGCATATGGCCTCAAGGCATTAAAAGATGTTAGCTGCAAAGTAATGAAGCACCAATTTCCTTCTCCTAGTAACTTTATTAATGGGACTCCACTGCAATACCTATGAACAGGGCACCAGTTCCTTTAAGGTTGTAGAAAATGAGAATAACTGCTTAAAAAACCCACCCTAAAGAAATTACTACCACTTTGAAATTTTAGAGGGTGATTAGGTGCACACTAAATGTTTGTCAATAAAAGAAACGGGTGACTTAGTGAGTGAGAACATGAATATTAACATTCATAGTTACAAATAATTTCCTGGAAAGATAGGCACAGATGTTTATTACAAACTGAAATGTTTCTCATGCCTAACCTATCCAATCACCCAGATATTTATTGAGCACCTACAGCATGCCAGGCGTTGTGCTGAGGCATCACATTAAACATTACAGTCAGAGTTCCTTGTTCTCACGATTTATATAGTTCAACAGGGAGAACAGATAATTAAATAATTATAATAATGTGATGAACATTAAGACAGAGAACCTTGATTAAGGCAATTACTCAATAATTCCAGGAATGACCTTTCCTAAACAGAAAGGAGGGATAAACTGGAGAAAAACAGCACTGCTCACAAATACCATACAGATTCTTTTCCTTCTCCTTCTGTAATATTTGATATATATTAAAATTGGAAAGTACCAAAAAAAAAAAAAAGATTGTTACATACATATAGGTTACGAAGTATAATAATAAATTGAACTCTCACAAACTTATGTGTGGAGCAAATATCTTCTCCCTTACAATTTGTCTTTTCACTTTATGGCATCTTTTGAGGAAGAGAAATTTACCAATCTTATCACCAATCTTATATTTATGGTTAGTCCTTTTTGTGTCTCGTTTATAAAATCCTTTCCTACCATGAGGTCATAAAGATATTTTCCTATGTTTTCTCCTAAAATTTTTCATGTTTGGCTTTTTACATGATGTCTTTACATCTGAAATCTATTTTCTGTATATGGTGTGAGATAGGGATACAGTTTCATTTTTTTCCACATGGAAAGAATATATTCCCACTCAGTGATCTGCAATGCCATCTCTACCATATGCCAAATTTGCATCCATACATGGGTCTATTTATGGCCTTTCTCTTTTGTTCCATCAATCAGTTTGTCTATTTCTATGCCAGTATCACTGTTCTAGAAATTTTTTAGGGCTTTTTATGTAAAATTCAGAGATTCTGATGATTTTTGCAAAGTGCAGACAGTCAGCAACTTATGATGGTTTGACTTATGATGGTTCGGTATACTACTCAAATTACATGAGATATTCAACATTTTATTTCAAAATAGACTTTGTATTGGATGATTTGCCCAACTGTAGGCTAATGTAAGCATTCTGAGCACATTTAAGGTAGGCTAGGTTCAGCTATGGTGTCTGGCAGGTCAGGTGTATTTTCAATGCATTTTCAACTTACTATGGGTTTATCAAGACACAACCCCATCCTAAGTCAACGAGCATCTGTACATTCAGTTCAATTTAATTTACAGTTGCCTTCCATGTTGTCTATTCTAATTACTAAATTAGGTACCATGAGAGGCAGAAAAGTGACTGAGGATGAATAGGCCTGGTCCTTATTCTCAAGGACCTTACAGTCTAGAGGTGAGAAAGATATGAATGAATGCATGCAAAGCAAAAACCAAATCACACTAATAAGATAAGGTAGGTAGAAAACACCAAACTAACTTTAATCAAAGCTTCGCATAGTTGACAATGTTGCTTTTTAAGATCAAATTTCTACATTTTCTTTTAATTACCTATACTAAGCATCTCTAAAAATGTTATGATTATATCTATTAGTACACCTGACCTTTCAATATACGTATGTGGAAACATTGTTTCCTGTGTACAAGGGAGATCAAAAGCCTCCCTCAAAACTTTTTTTTTTTTTTTTTTTTTTTTTCCAGCACCATGCTCTAACCAACTGAGCTAACCAGCCAGCCTCAAAACTGTCTTTACATTATGTCCTTTTCATTGCAATCTATGTGGTAGCTGGCTCTGAGGAAGGACTCTAGCATAATGAAATAAAAATCACGCCAGGAGCCAAGACAAAAACCTGTAATTTTGGCACCATACCAGCTGTATGGCCTTGGGAACTCAACCTCCATGTGCCTCAGTTTCTCATGTTTAAGATCAGGATGACAGCATGGGCTATGGTAGGCGCTGGCTAGACTGGCCACTCTCAGGCCTTCTGGGTCTTGAACTGACTGCGCATGTCCATAGTCTAGTATCTCTACACAAATGCAATTTGAGGTGCTCATATGATTCCTAGTGATTATTATAAACCTGAATACAATGCAGCACAACGGAGCTGGTAGTATAAGAAATTATGCTTAGAGCCTAAGGCTGTTTAAAGGGGGTTATGCAACCATGTAAAGGTTATTCTGGATTAAAGGTGACATGCTTCAGGTTGCCTAACAGGCTGAGTAAATTGCCACTGTAGGCTGCTCCACTCTGGCAAGACCTCAACACGGACAGGAAGAATATCATGGCTACCAGTGAATTCTCGGACTGCCTTTGGAGCTCTGAGAAATCTCATTACTGGACCAGGCAGTATTTCCTAATATGCTTCTTTGAGAGCATCTCGTTTCCTTTTACTGCAGCAAACTGTATCTTCTACTCTAGAAAGATGTGGATCAAAGCGTAGTCCTCTGAGGATTACCACATGGTTCTAGTCTGAATAGGGGACTCATAACAAGTGCTACCATTCACTGAACACTTGTTATACCCATGCAATGTGCTAAACACCTTATAATTAATTTAAAACAGAATAGGTAGTGTTATCTTTATTTCACAGGTGAGGCAGTTGAGGGTTAGAGAGGTGAGGTAACTTGCCCAAGGCCTAAAGCTAGTAAGTGGAAGAACCAGGATTTGAACCCAAGAAGTCTGACTCCAGACTGCATACCCTGGAACTTATGAAGCAGTGAGGAGACAACTCTTCAGTGCTTACCAAGGTATCACTAATCACGCCACAGGTGGGCCTCAAGGACTACTGTTCTGTCCCCGGAAAAGATCAAGGCATTCACAGTGTAGTCCCTGAGACCTAGACCTTCCTCTCCATCCCTCTCCCATTAAAATCCCCTTGATGGGATTCCCTCCACAGCTTTTCAACACAGCTCTTCATTAATAGGAAGCCAGAGAGTCCGGTACAGTAGAAAGCACCTAATAATTATATACCTGAAAATCAAATATTCTTTTGCCAAATTGCATTCTTTCTTTAATATATGACATAGTGTAGTCAAAACATCCTTGGGCCAGTCCCAGCATCTGTTAAAAAAAAAACAAAAACACCAGAATTTCTTATTTTGTTACAAGTCTATGCTTTTAATTATCCAAGTTGCAAATTCCTTTCACACGTAAATTTAATAGTTGGGGTAGGAGAAGAACTGGAGAGATTAAGTTGGTGAGGTGTGGTATGTGTCACCCACTGCATTTGTAGAAGTGAACTTCAAATAATTAGAAAAAAACTTTCAGTGATTTTGTATGAATATGAGTACATTTAATTCTAGGATAGAGGTAAATCTCCTGGCATGGTTGTGTTCTACAACCAGGCTACTTTTTAGGAATCTTCTCCTTTAAGCTTTGATTCTCCAGGCATAAGGTGAGCCACAGAAGTTTTACTCGGAACTGTCCTCAAAGACTATAGAGGAGCTCCCTCCAGTCCTTCTAGAAGTCAAATGTAGAAGGTCACTTCTTAACATTCTACCTTCCTGTCTATTTTGTATATAATTAGGGTTAATAAGAGCTTCCGTGGAAAGAGCATTAGAACATAAGACAGCAGTATTTCTCAGTCCCGGCTGCACATCAGAATCACTTGGGGAACTTGATAAAAAATGTACTGATACTTGGACCTAACAACTGAATCCAATCTTGGGAGTGTGGGTGTGGGAGTGTGGCCTAAACATCAGCATTTTAAAAAATCCTTAGGCGGGCCGGCCTGGTGGCGCACTGCTACAGTGCACCGCTTGGGAGCACAGCGGCGCTCCCGCCGAGGGTTTGGATCCCACATACAGACCAGTTCCCGCTCACTGGCTGAGCGAGGTGCGGGCGCAGCACCGAGGGTTGCGATCCCGTTGCCGGTCCCAGTCCGGTACAGGCGCGACACTGAGGGTTGCGATCCGTTGCCAGACACGAAAAAAAAAAAAAAATCCTTAGGTGACTTAATGCACAGCTAGGGTTGCAAACAACTGACTGAGAGCATCTGGTAAAAACATTAATTTATATGCTCAAAGAACAAATCAGGAATGTGGTGACAATTTTGGCTGAACTGTCTCATTGCTAACGAACTTCCGTATCTATTGAACAATTCAAGCTTAGAAATGGTTTCTAGATTTCAACATGAAATCACTATCTAATTATGTCAAACCATGTAGGCTTTAGGAAAGAAAAAAAAAATCAATAGTCAAAGCTTTGTGGGGAAATGCCCTCAAATTTATCAATATTTCATTAGTGTTCATTCACATTTTCTTTTAGCCTTTTATTTTTATAACTCTCTGGAAAACTGAACATTATATTAAAAATTAAAAGCACCCCAAACCCCAGATTAAAGTGAGTCAGCAAACTCACTGCACTTTCGGTGATGAGATAAAATAACACAACTATAACCTTGTTTAAAGTATATAAATAATATCCTATATTGACATCAAGACTGAAATTACCAGTTGTCAATCAAAATAGGCTTTTCCATCTCAGTAAAACGTTTTCATTACAAATACTGAAAAACTAAATTCTCTCCTATTGCAGGGTTTCGAGGGCGGGTGCCTTCAGTTCACTTGTTATATGTGCCTCTTCCTCTAAAAGGCATTCACCGAGACATAGTAACTACCTGACCTTAACTTTTAATTAGGTTATTAGACAACTTGAAATAATTAGACTAAAGCCCAGGCTGTGTACTTTACTGCCAGAACATCTGTATTATTTATATGTCCTGGAACAATGAGATCCAGCACTGTAGTTTTTAATGCCATATCTGATGAAGTTACATCACAGAAAAACTTTAAGAACAGATAAACCAACACTCTTTAATAATATACTATCTACTTTTGTAAGAAACCAGGTTAAATTTTGACCTATGAATAATCAGCAAAGTAATAGCAGCAGGAAAAATGTCTCATGTAATACAGTAATCCAATGTTTAACTATTCCAATAGCTAATACATATGTAACATCTTAAAAATCTAAAAGCTGTAAGTTCTTGAATTTTGCATAAAAATACTCTACAAAAATGACATAATTTATATAATAAAACCAAACACTTTATTCATTTTGTTTATCTAGAAAATAACTGATATCACTTAATATAAAAATGTATTACAAAGAACAAACTTGGCAAAACAAAAAAACCTGCCCATCTCACATGTCTATTTAATTGTGGCTATTTTATTTCATGTGTCAGGGAAAAAACTGCCAAACTTTCACCTGCAAAACACTAAGCAACTAATCTTTCATTACCTATAAATTAAATATCCTTAGTACACAGTAGAATAAATACTATTTATTCTTAATTTTAAAAAATTCTTTTAGAATGACTTCCATGCTTTGAAAAATTGATTTTAGAAGTTATCAGTTCAGGTATTGGGTAATACTTTAATGGTCTCAAAGAAGAGACACTATTACTACTAAGCCATTGCTTGGCTCTCATTACTTATAAATTGGCTAAGGTAGAATTTGAAATAATCAGCAGCTATTCTTCCACCTCATGTTAAGGGAAGGGTGCCATCTTGTGCTCACAAGCTTGCAAATACTCATTGGTCTTGCTACACTTTTGTCTTTTTACATTATAATTAACTCACACCTTGGAAGAGCTAAACCTTGACTCACCTGTGCAGCAATTCCTACTCTTCCTTTATTAAGACTCCCGATGGCATACTTATAACCATGTCCAAGGTGTCCCAAGATATTGGCTTCTGGAACCTGAAAATACCAATACGCACTTATTTCTCAATTTAATTTGACATAACTAATTTTGATTATATATTTTTAAATGCATGTAGACTCTATCACAGTACTTATTAAACTCCAATGAGATTGCCTGCTGACCTCTCCCTCCACACTGTTTCCCCTACAGCTCTCTGAGGAAAAGAACTCAAGTCCATGCTGTCCACTACTGCATCCTCAGAGCCTCAGACAATCTGTTGAATGAATGAATGAATCTAGGAAAAGGGAGTCTCATACAATCCGTCAATAGCATAAATGTATAACAATTTCCCCCCCAATTCTTATCTGTATGCTATAGTGTGAGAACATCATAGGGAGTACAAAAAATATGCAAGTACTTGCGGAAGCAAGAGTAGTAAACCTTTCCTGTGTTGAGACTATTCATTCTCATAAAGACAGACTGAGGGGGGTGTGTGCATGTGCGTGTACACGTGTGTGTGTGCACAAGGGAGAGAGGAAGAAGAAGGAGACAGAACAGACTAAAATGTTTCTTCATAGTTTAAAAAAATTAAGACTAGGAACAATAGAAAATACGCTGAGCATTATAATATTAGCAGCTGGCAGAGAGAGTGTGGAGAATGGAGAATGGAGAAAGAAAAGGGAAAGTGAGAAGGAGGAGGACGATTGAGACCAGTGGTGAGGTTCAAAACACATCTGTAGGGGGCCGGCCCCGTGGCGCACTCGGGAGAGTGCAGCGCTGGGAGCGCAGCGACACTCCCGCCGCGGGTTCGGATCCTATATAGGCATGGCCGGTGCGCTCACTGGCTCGGCGTGGTGTGGGCGACACCAAGCCAAGGGTTGCGATTCCCTTACCGGTCACGAAAAAAGACAAAAAACCAAACAACCAACCAAACAAAACCACATCTGTAAAGACATTCTCTGCCCCCGACGTGGAAACTGATCAAGCTCTAATGTGAGTTGTAGAAAACCCAACACCACCTGTCCTATCTATGTAACGTTCCCAAGCACAAGCATAAGCATCTGGCAATCTTCCTTGTTTTTAGCAGAAAACTCTAGGCGGGTTGCTGCCTGGTTGCTTTCCACTCCCGCTGAGCAACACCCCCATCTTGTGGCCTTTGGTGCACTGACACCACGCTTCCTTCTCTGAAGCCGTGGTTGGCGCACAGTATCAAGCAGTATGTAAGTTGTAAATATAAATTGGATTAACGCTCGGCATTTGCTCCCGAGAACAGCTGCTGGGCAGAAAGTTCTCCCCTCTTAGCCTAAACTCTTGTGAAAAGTACATTTACTCATGACTTAACCGAAGAACATTGTTCAGGACTTTCACAAAATACTCTCCTGTGCATGCTTACAGCTACTTAGTATTTTCACACCTCTCTTGCACCTTCCCTTTGGTTCCAGGCAAAGCTTACTTCACATCGGTCTTTTACTTATTATTCTAAGATACCCACCTTGACATTTTCAAATGTTAATGAGCAGGTGGAAGAAGCTCTGATCCCCAATTTGTTTTCTGACTGCCCTACATGAAGGCCTTCAGTGTCACGATCTACTAGGAAACAGGTAATTCCTTTATATCCCTAAAAAAAATTTTCAAATGCTATTACCACTTGGATTTATAAAATCCCTTGTTTCTAAAGAGTTCAAAGTAAAAAAGAAAAGTAAAAACGGACTTGAATAATAAATACTCATGAACTCAGAACTGCAACATGTGCATTATGAAACAAGACTGATCCAAAATCAACAACTTTACCATTTCTTTTACTTTTTCAGAAACCATGGATATTATTGTTACACTAAGGCATTACATGATCATGAGAATTTCATGTTTTAAATTTAATTTTAATGAATATTTTAAAGTTTTATCAATTTAATTCAATTAAATGTTACATTAGTGAAAAGACAAAAGATAAAATGTATTTACCATTTTGCTCTATTTTCCAACGGAATAAAATATTCTTAAAAGTAAATGTATTTAATAGGTACTTAAATTCTTTGATATTAAATAGGAAATTTGAAATTCTACAAAACTAAACATTACCTTCTTATATAACATATTAAAAGATAATAAATGGTCTTCCATGTAATTAATAATTGTGTCAACAATATTTATTTTAGGAGATTTAATAAATAAGGAATTGAAAAGATGCCAGTTCAAGTCTAACATTTTCAGTACTGAGAAGGAAGAATTTAAGACTAAGTCCTAAAAAGGAAATGGAAGGAGGAAAAGAAAAAAAAAAAAAAAAGAAAAATGATGAGAAAAAAAGTTTTCAAACTTACAAGGTTGGGGTCTATGTTTGCCATCACAAGGAAGAGCCCGGCTTGCTGGGCACTGCTAATCCACATCTTTGACCCGTTGATTACATAATAATTTCCCTTTTTATCAGCTCTAGTCTTCAAAGCAAATGAGTCACTACCTGCTCCAGCCTCTGAAAGGCAGAAACTTCCTACCTACACAGGTGATAAATAAAATGCCAAATTAATAACTATATTTACCCTGTGTATAACAAATATATATGGCAGAATGAACATTTATAAATTAAACATTTGGCTACTTTTTTAAAAAGGCTGTACTTATCAAAATCGTAATCGTATTTTGACATTATTATTTCCCAAAATATACCCTACTATTTGTCCAAGACAAATTTAAAGACTTAAGAACACATACTTAAGTTTATTTAAAGTGATTCTAATAATTACAGTAGAAAGACATCTCAATAGAAATGGAACCATTAACAAAAGTATTGAAAATATAATTGGGACAAAAGAGAAATAACTTTATCGATTGATGATTATTCTCTAAATTTCTGAGTGGCAAGTGAGAGGCACAGTGTATTCTTCTAGGACCATTAATTTAGTGAGCACTACTTGATTAATTAGTAGTGCTGCACTGTGGTCTTGGACAGGAAATTCAATACTGCAGCTACTTGATTCTCCCAAAAATACTGTAAATTTTGAAAAGATAAGATCCATTTCAGCAACTTGTCTCAACTCACTTTTTCTGTAACCAGGTTAGGCAAATAGGTGGCCTTTTGTTCTTCTGTTCCAAGTTCTCTAATCAGCGAGTTAATTATTGTGTTCTGGATGTCACAAAAGAGAGCCACGGATGCATCAACTTTGGCTAATTCCTCTATCACTAGGATAGTGGAAAAAAATGAAGCTCCTGTTCCTCCATATTTTGTGTCAACTTCAATACCCATCAACTGAAGGAAAATCAGGAAAACATAGATTAAGAGAGCTATTTTTATAGGGGGAAATTTCTTGCAAGAACAAGTTCAAAAATAAATTATAACATGTATGTTCTTAATTTTAAAATTCTGTATGTATAGTTTATTTTAATTTGGAATGGCTATTACACTATAAGTAACCAAAAAAAATCTATAGCAGAAATATATACAGTTAGCCCTCCATATCTACAGTTCCGCATCCATGGATTCAACCAACCGGGATCAAAAATATTTGGAAAAAAAATTGTGTCTGTACTGAACATGCACAGACTTTTTCCCTTGTCATTAATCCCTAAAACATACAGTGTTACAACTATTTACGTAAAATTTACATTGTATTAGGTGTTTTAGGTAATCTAGAGATGATTTAAAATATTCGGGAGGATGTGTATAGGGTTATATGCAGATGCTACTCCATTTTATATCAGGAACTTGAGCATCATGGATTTTGGTCCTGGAATCAATCCCCCATGGATACGGGGATGACTGTATATTTGAAAAGAATGAGATTACATGCTATCATTTGTTTCTTTCTGGGATACAAAAAATGAAAATAAGAGAGGAGAAATGCTTTGAAGAGTAATTGAATGGAATGAGAAAATGTCTTATATAAATCTACGCTGACGATCCTTCTCGTTGTTGAAGAAGTGTTGTTGAACTGTTTGACTGTGTTTTTGTTTTTCAACATGAAAAACATGATTTTTTTTCATGTTGAACTGTTGTTGCCTGCTTAACTGTGTTTTGGTTTTTCAACATGGCCCTTTTACACTGATTTCAATGTAATAAGGAAACAGAAGAGAGTAACCTACCCCTCAGTGGGAATGTCTACACTTTCATTTAGTATAATCTCTTCCAGTCAGGCTCCTCCACCTTGACTTTTTCAGCTGAGATAATAATCAAATGACTATTCCTTTTGGGCCACTTCAGCAAGTTGAGGATGGTTAGCAGACAACATTAGGTGGTGTTTGCTAGCCACACTAGACAAGGCACAGGTGCCTGGTAAACAGGACCAAATGGTGGCCATGACTTTCTAATAAGCCTGAGCAAGCCTGACCATTCAGTAGTTACAGACATGAAACTTCCACAGTACTCCGGTTTGAAGTGTCTTCATTTCAGAAAGAGAATGTGTGTACATGTAACTCAAGATCCACAGCTGTTAGCAGATAAAAGGATAATGCTCCCATTCTCTCTGGACACTCTTTGAATCACACCATGCTACAGTCAGGGTTGTGGCTGTTATATTTTAGGCTGAAGGAAAACTTAGCTTACATGAAGGTAGAATCACAGAGGGGGATGATTAAAATGGTGAGAGAACCAGAAATGATGTTCTGTGAGGAAGAACTGAAGGGTGTGGGTGTGCCTGGAGACGGGGGAAGGCCTGGTCACTATATGATTATAACATCTTGAACACATGTAGAGACACTCCTTCTCTAAAAAATTCACCAATCTCTCCTAAATTGGAAATAGTGTTTTTGTTAGCTATTTTTGTTAGCAGGTGACCAAAGAGCTGGGATAATGGGAGGTAGGAGGCAGGGGAGGCTGCACCTAAGCAAGGGCAGTTTATGGAGATGGGGGAGGGGACAGGCACTGGATCACTCTGCAGACAGCCCTGGCTGCAAGAACTACCACCTTAGGAGAGGGACTTTCAAATGGTGAAACCATAAGACTTTTTAGAGAAGCCTAGAGTGTCTGCAAACAACAAAAGTGAAACCTGGCTGAGAAATGAATGGACTTGCAGAGTCTATCTGTTTTATGCACTGGACTTCTGTTTGACCCACTGTGGCGCCACAGAAGATTCTATTTTCCAAAGAGTTTCATTGCTAAAAGAAAGCTGGAAAAATCACCACGATACATGGTATAAAAAAGCTGGTAGCTTTAAGGTGGAAAGAAATAAAACTTTCTAGCTCAGTGGCAAAGATTATTTTTTCAAACAGGATAACAGACAAGATTTGGGCCAATGGCTCTAAATAGCAGACCCCCATTCTGGGACACCCTCAGTATTCAAAATAAAAGATAAATCTCTCTTCATACCTGTGGAGAGGGAGAAATGATGAGTAAGTGCAGTGATTTTTAAAATGTTCTCCTTGGAGCTCCCGTGTTGATAACCTCCCCCCCTCCACACAGCTGGAGCAGCTTTACCTTGACCTATTGTATATGTCATGCTTCCATTAAAAGGCTGTGTGGCTTGAAAAGTTAGAAACCTGTTGTCCTGGTTAATGTGGAATTCAGACATCACCTCTGCTTCTAACTTTACCACTTACATAGGGATTCGGGTAGGCTATATACTACACTATGAAGTTTTACCATCTAAAGTGAAGTTTCTTAACTGTGGCATTCAGCTGGATAATTCTTTGTGGTGTACTGTCCCGTGCATTATAGGATGTTTAGCAGCATCCTTAGATTTACCCCACTAGAGGCCAGTAGCATGCCCCAGTTGTGACAACCAAAAATGTCTCCAGACATTGCCAAATGTCCCCTGGGGAGCAAAATTACCCCCGGTTGAGAACCACTGTCTAAAGAAATCACTCTCTCACTTCCAAACTTGTCCTTAAAAAGCACAGCATTGCTAATTTAAAATGCTAATTTCATTTTAAATAAATCTTTAACTATATAAATATTAACTAGAATTTCAGTCTAAAAAGAGAACACAGATGATGTGGACTAGGAAATGAAGAGTTCATTATGCTATCATTACAGTACCCAAATTAAAAAATATGCATACATTTTAACACTGAAATGTATTTATAAAAGTTTGAAATTAGAGGAATTATAAAATATACCCCTTGTTGAAATAATCCTTGTATTATTGATTTCTCCAATTTTGAATTTTCATCCATGGTTGAAACCAAAGGAGCAACTTGCTCCTGTGCAAATTTTTTAACTGCAAGAAAAAAAAATTACTGGTAAGTCTATGTTCAATTAGCAGTCATATTAATAAAGATTATAACAGTTCATTAATAGCTTACTGACAAATTTTATTTTTTAACTAATAAGTTAAAATATACATAGGTGCTCTTCTTTTTCTTTTAAAATAGATTTTACAGTTTTTTTAAAACACAGAAAGGTATAATTCCCCACCCCTCTTTATAACTCTTGATAGCATTAAAAACCAAATGATACATGTATATGGTGCAAAAATGTAAACAATATAGAAAGCACAAAATGAAAAATAAAAGCTGTGCTCCCTGCCCTGGCCCTCCAGTCCCTCTCCCCAAAAGTAACTAATTTTAAGTTTATTATGTATTCTTTCTGAAAAACTTTCTTTTATATCTATCTATATAGACCCATACATTATATAATATATATATATATATATATATATATACATACATATATATAGACGCTCCTCAACTTATAATGGGGTTAAGTCCCAATAAACCCATCACAACTTTAAAATATCCTAAGTTGAAAATGCATTTAATACACCTAGCCTATCGAGCATCATAGCTTAGTATAGTCTACTTTAAAGTGCTCAGAACACCTACATTAAGCTACAGTTGGGCAAATCATCTAGCACAAAACCTATTTTATAATGAGGTGTTGACGGCCTCATGTAATTTGCTGAGTACTGTACTGAAAGTGAAAAGCAGAATGCTTGTGTGGGCTGTCTATTCCCGTGATCACGTGGCCGACCGGAAGCTGCAGCTGGCTGTGCTGCCCCCACATCGTGAGGGTATCTCACAGCACATCGCTAGCCCGGGAGAAGACCAAAATTCAAAATTCAAAGCACGGTTCCTACTGAATGTATATCACTTTCGCACCATGGTAAAGTTGAAACATTGCAAGTCAGGGACCGACTGTCTGTCTATTTTACACAAAGGAATCCTAAGGTATACATTCAGCTGTGCCTTGCCCCTCGTCCACACACCCCCATATCTTGATGATCTTTCTGTGCAGCACCTCCCATCTCACTTGGTCCTTTTAATAGCTCCATTGTCACACAGAACAGGGTTTCTCTACCTTGGTACTACTGACATTTTGGAGAAGGTAAATGTTTGTCGTGGGGGATGTCCTGTGCATTGTAGGCTATTCGGCAGCATCCCTGACCTTTATCCCAGTAGCGCCCCCTCATTTCTAAGTTGTAGAAACTAAAATGTCTAGATATTCCTAAATGTTGAAAACCACTGTTCTAGACCTCCACAGTTTCATTTTTTATGTTTAAGTCCTGGATGCATCTGGAATTAATTTTGATGAAAGTACCTTAACTTTACTACCATCATACTATCAAGTACTGCGTATGGTAAAGAAGGCAACTGTGCTTCAATGTAGTTTGAGGCATGTCAGCTTGCTCCTTTGTTTCTGCACAAGCTATTCCCTCTGTCTAGAATGTACTTCCTCCTCTTCTGCAGCTGGCAAGTTCCTCTTCATCCTTCTGGTATGGCTTAAGCACTGCACTCTCTGGGAAGCCTCTGCTGACTGCTTCCCCATACCTTTTCCTGCCACCCCTAGCAGATTTTAGGTGCTCTCTTCTTTGCTCCCCAAATATCTCTGTGACATTTACCATGTTATTTTGAAACTACCATATTTCTTTTACTTGACTGTCTTTGCCACTAGACTATGAGTCCCTTGACAGCAATGACTTTTTTTCTTGCTCATCTTCATGGCCTCTGTGATTAGACAAGGCAGGTACTAAATAAATAGATATACGAGTGACTAAAGACGGAATCAAGGAACTCTAAGAAAATTCTTTTGATTTATGTAAAATATTTGACCACCCACCCTGTTTCTTCCTTATCCACCCCAAACTCACTTCCCTCAGAGACCATATCTAATAGCTCAGGGGAGCAAAGGAAAAGAAATTTACTTCTGGTAGGCAGAATTCTAAGGTAGCCCTAATATTCCAAGCCCCCGGTGTATACATGTCTTCTCTCAGTAACTCAATTAAACACAAATCTAAGTTCTGCTGAGAAGGAATTTTACAGATATGTTTAAGGTCCCAAATCAGCTGACCTTAAAACAGAAAGATGATCATTAGTAGGCCCGACCCAAGCACGCGAGTCCTCAAAAGGGATAAGGCTCTTCCTGGTGAAAAAGGTTTTAAGTGTGAGAGGGGTCTGATGCAAGGAAGAGCCCTGGGTTTTGAAGATGGAAGGAGCCACACGACAAGGACACAGAAGTCTCTAGGAGCTGAGAGCAACCCCTGATTGACAGCCAGCTAGGAAAGAGGGACCTCAGTCCTACAACTGCACGAAACAGAATTCTGTCACAATCATGTGAGCTTGGAACATCTCTGAGCTCCAGATGAAAACACAGCCCAGCTGACACCTTGATGGTAGCCTTGTGAGACCCTGGGCCTGGACTCCTGACCTACATAACTGTGAGTTAAGTTTGTGGTGATTTCTTACATAGAAATAGAAAACTAATTCACTTACCATCCATATTCTCCAAGAACAACAATTTTGATATTGGGCTACAGATTTTTAGTATGTCTTAATTTTACAAACACACAAATCCATGAGGGTACTTCAAAAAGTTCATGGAAAAATGGAATCAAAAGATAATACAAGGGCTGGCTGGTTTCTCAGTTGGTTAGAGTGTGGTGCTGATAACACCAAGGTCCAGGGTTCGATCCCTGTAACAGCCAGCCACCAAAAAATAAAATAAAATGAAATTTAAGAAAAGAAAAGATAAGACAAATCTTTCTACGAGCTTTTTGAATACCCCTTATATGCATATAAATAATGAATGTAAACTGCTTAAAAGTTTAGTGGCATACAACTTCTGTTTCCTGATTGAGGTCCCTGTTTCAATCACAGGCATTTCATAAAGGTAAATTTAAAATTCCACATAAAATATTAAAATCTCACTATCTAAAAAAACTGGAATATGTATGTACTTCTAACTTTGCAAGCTATAAAAGAAAGTGGTAAGGGCCGGCCCGTGGCTCACTCGGGAGAGTGTGGTGCTGACAACACCAAAGCCACGGGTTCGGATCCCACATAGGGATGGCCGGTTTGCTCACTGGCTGAGCGTGGTGCTGACAACACCAAAGCCACGGGTTCGGATCCCACATAGGGATGGCCGGTTTGCTCACTGGCTGAGCGTGGTGCTGACAACACCAAAGCCACGGGTTCGGATCCCACATAGGGATGGCCGGTTTGCTCACTGGCTGAGCGTGGTGCTGACAACACCAAAGCCACGGGTTCGGATCCCACATAGGGATGGCCGGTTTGCTCACTGGCTGAGCGTGGTGCTGACAACACCAAAGCCACGGGTTCGGATCCCACATAGGGATGGCCGGTTTGCTCACTGGCTGAGCGTGGTGCTGACAACACCAAGTCAAGGGTTAAGATCCCCTTACCAGTCATCTTTTAGAAAAAAAAAAAAAAAAGAAAGAAAGAAAGAAAAGAAACTGGTAACAAGGCAGCTTTTGGCAAGAACTGGGGAAACAGGGAACGAAGGTGGGGGAGACTTAACTTTTAACTATATAGCCTTTTATTCTGTTGGTTTTTTTTAATCTTGGATATGTAATACTTTTTGTCAAAAAATTCCATTCACAAACTTAGATGAACACATCTTCCAAGTGTGTCATATGTAATTTCAAATTGTAGACCCAACTCACAACCAAAAGAATAATAAGGTGAAGTTGAGAAACTTACCTGAGCTCTTTATCATCATTTCCTCATCTGTAAATGTTTGCAGTGGGGCCAAGGGTGATCCATTATTTGTCATATTGAGTGCAGCTTCTGACTGGGTAGATTTTAGGACATGAGGAGGAATTCTCCATGAAGACAGGCCAGTTGGGAAGTTTCTTCTTAGCTATGGAAACAGCCCCCATTGAGTAGAGAACATACACCACACACACACACACACACACACACAGACAAAAGTAAGAAAGGTATTTAAATATCAGTGTCTTTGGGAATAACGTTACAGTCCTTTCTTATACTTTGTGTTACTAAAATAAAGGAGCTTAACCTAGTACATTTTTTAATTCACTGTCTTTTGAACATAACCAGAAAATAGTTTGTTAACATTATATGTTATCTCCTCTATCCAGCAATGTGCTGTTGTAAATAAATTTCCTAGGTAATTAACTTTTACCAGACAAGGACACAGAACTTTCTAGGTGGAACTCATTCTCAAAATTTATTTCACATTTCACTGACTGTGTACAAAGGGAAACCAGAATACTGTATAACACGCTGGATGTCTAAGACTGACAGCTGTCAAGAGTCTTGTGAGGGCACATGGGCAACTAAGGGGGACAAAACTACCTGCCTTATCTGACTGGATCCAGGCAGCTGTGCTTTTGTGATTTCCATGGCTAGTTTTGTTTTTGTAGCTTCTCATTAGTAAGAGACAGTGCAGCATAAGGGTTAAGAAAATAGCTATTTGACCTTAGGCAAGTAATTTTCAACCTCTCAGTTCAAACCTCTCAGATTCTGTTTCCTTACCTACAAAATGCAGATAACAACGTCTTGGAGTTTTGTGAGGATTGGTAAGACAATCTATATACAGAGTTTAGCTTAATATCTATCATATAGTAAGAGCTCAATAAATGCTAATGACTGTATCTACTACTTGGTGGTTATAACAGAAATAGTAGAAGTAATAATGTAGTTAAACTGTCAGCTACCAGTTCCCATCATTAGAATGACTCTCTGTTGCAGTGTCACATGTAGTAATGTAGTAATACTTCGAACACATGTAGTAATACTCCGAAATATGTTTCCTCAGTAGTTTTGATTATACAATGAAAATTGAGAAAAAAGAAATGAGTCATCATGTTTGGAACCATTGTCAATCTTTGCTATCTATTGGACAATCTTTGTAGTTAGGTGCTAGGAGCAGACATATTCTGCTCTGGATTCACCGGGAAAAAGAAAAACTGGCCAGTCAGATGAAAACTGTATGTGTCTTCAGTTAAAATATTTTGTTTTATTTTCAGAATTAGGAGACAGATAGTTTAGGGCAAAGTTGCATGAAATATATTTTTCTCATTAAAAGAGAGTTGGGGGCCGGCCCCGTGGCTCACTCGGGAGAGTGCGGTGCTGACAACACCAAGGCCGCGGGTTCGGATCCCTATATAGGGACGGCGGGTTCGCTCACTGGGTGAGCGTGGTGCTGACAACACCAAGGCCGCGGGTTCGGATCCCTATATAGGGACGGCGGGTTCGCTCACTGGGTGAGCGTGGTGCTGACAACACCAAGGCCGCGGGTTCGGATCCCTATATAGGGACGGCGGGTTCGCTCACTGGGTGAGCGTGGTGCTGACAACACCAAGGCCGCGGGTTCGGATCCCTATATAGGGACGGCGGGTTCGCTCACTGGGTGAGCGTGGTGCTGACAACACCAAGTCAAGGGTTAAGATACCCTTACCGGTCATCTTTTAAAAAAAAAAAAAAAAAAAGAGAGAGTTGGGACAGGAAAACTCTGGACTAGAAAGAAGGGGTACTCGTACATGAGATATTGTCTTCTTCCTGATAAGAGAAACTGGACAAATTAAAAAGTAGGGTAGGCAAAGAGAGGTAAGAAATGGAAGTACACAGGGGCTCAAGAAGGGGAGGAATGTTGCTAGGTAGCAGCTGACACAAAGAAAGAAGGAAGAACTAGGGAGAAGGAGCAGCAGTATTATGGAGAAGTTAGAGAGGTACGTATGCGGGACCATCTTGTTCAATGACTGCTGGGAGAGTCTTGGTTAGGCTCCCCAATATACATTTGAATGAATGAAAGAATGAGCCAACTAGTCCTCACAAAATGCTCATGAAAGTTGACTATTATTTTTAAAAGTGCAGTATGAGTACATTGCCCACATATCTTATTTCTAGGGGAGATTATTTACTTCACTAAATCCACTACACAATTCTTCGTGTCTTAGTCAACATATCATCTTTGTATCTCAGTAAATCTTTAAAAGAAGGCCCACCACTGAGAAACTTAAGAAGCCAGTGTGTCTTAAATAATATGTATTTTTCCCAATGACACAATTGTAAGCCCCTTAGTCTCAGTACTGCTACTGACAAAGTATATGACCATTCGACACACAGCAATAATTTTAGGTTCACAGATAACAGGCAAATGTACTTTAAAAAGTATGAAATGGTATACAATCATAGGGTGAGATTATTGAAGATGCTCATCATAAAATACAGTGACTATATGCTAAGTGAATGGAATCCGTCTTTTTTTTTTAAAGATGACTGGTAAGGAGATCTTAACCCTTGACGTGGTGTTGTCAGCATCACATTCACCCAGTGAGCTAATAGGCTATCGTATATAGGGATCCGAACCCATGGCCTTGGTGTTATCAGCACCGCACTCTCCCGAGTGAGCCACGGGCCAGCCCCTGGAATCCATCTTTAACCAAAGCATTAAGAGATATTACTTATTCCTTTTTATGGCAGAAAAAAAAAAATCCATTTAATATGACAGTCTTTAAGAAAGGAAGCTTTTCCTTTCCTTGCCTTTAGCCGTATAGCTTGAAGTTCTGATGCTGACTTTCTAGTGTTCCCTGCCCTTCAGTGTTGATCTCAGCCTTTGCAGCTTTGCTGTCCTCTCCATCAAAATGATTTTCCACAGTTATAACCCATTGCACCACATCATCACATTTTTTTGTACAGAGCAGCAATTGCTACTTGAATGGAATAATGGTTATTTATGCCTTGCCAAATACTTTTCAGAGCTTGAGTCTGAACTGTTTCCTACTCATCTGACCAGAGTTCTGTTGCACTTAGAAGTGCTGATGATCAAACCTGGGGGCCGTGGACTCCTGTAGACAGAACAATAAAGTCCATGAACTCAGATGGGGGGAAAGTTACATCTTTATTCCACTAACCTCTAACTGAAATACAGCATTTCCTTCATTTATGAACGTCGGCAACAAGTGACAGTAGTACTAGCAGTATCTGTGACTCTGTCATCGAAAGAAATTAAGGATATTTTTATATCATATTGAGTTGGTATAAATACCTTGAAATAATATTTATGCTCATCATTACCTTACAGCAATTAGTAGAACTGCTGCCAGATCTTAATTAAGAAGCACATACAGTTGTCCCTCGGTATCTGTGGGGGATTGGTTTCAGGACCTCTAGCAGATACCAAAATCCACAGGTGCTCAAGTCCCTGATGTACAACGGTGTAGTGCTTACATATAACCTATGCATATCCTCTCGTACACTTTAAATCATCTCTAGATACCTTTCACTCATGGCATAAAAAGGATTAAGAACCCCTGACTGCAGAATGTTCTGGAAAGTCTTTTGCTAACTTGTTAAGTTTAGCCACTGTATTAGTCATAACCCTTTCTCCATTATGCTCCAGCATAACGAAGAAGTATTGTTCCAAACATTCTTAAAGTGCTTCAAATCTAGACACTTTCTCAATATCTGAAAGGCAAAGGAAGACATGTCAGAGAAGTTGTGCTGACCTGCAAAGACCTGGTTAGACTTTTCACATGGAAATGCTTCCATAGCATACGGCAGTGCTTAACTTTACAGCCCTGTAGTCATTGGTTTGTACCCAACTGTGCCCTTCTGGCTCCCTTCTGCTGTGAGATGGTTCCAGAGGCACTTCTGCCAATTACCACAGGGCACCACACAAAGCTCCTCCCCCTCAACTTCTTACAGCATTCCTCGCCCTTTGCTGAATTAAGGGCAACTGCACTTTCCTCAGCTTCCCCTGAAGCTCTCTCAAGTGGCAACTTTCTTCTCTCACAATCTACCTTTCCAGGAGAGAGGAGGTAGGGTCCACTACCTCTTTACTTCTCAGTGAAGTTTCAAGAACATTACACCTCCATCCTCTGTGGGAGGAAGGGAGGAGGAAAAGGAATAAGAAAGGTAACTGCTGTCCTCGAAGCTTTGGCCAGCTATCAATTGCACCCGTCCCACCCTTCATCACTGGCCTTCTGCCCACCTGGACAATTTCCTTTATTTACGCAACTCAGTTCCCAAACATGCTCACCCAATACCTGCCAGTATCTTAGGAGAGCACAGAGTCCATGAGGCCAGCCTATGTAACACCGTGGCCTTGAACTGTCCTTCTGCAGTGGCTTTCTCCACCGTCACCCAGTTTTATTGGCCATCCATTCCAAGTTGACGCTCAGTACCACCATCTCCCGAAGTGTCTATTTCAGACAGCCCTTTCTAAGACCACAGCTTCCTGTCCCTCCAGCCTCCCTGCTAAACTATGCCACTAACTTGTTCTAGAACATCGCCAGCTTTCCAGTCCCTTCACACATCTAATTTCTTTCTCCTGGACAGTCTCTCTTGCTTTCATTACCCTCAATATCCAACAGCTTATGTTCTAGGGTTAACCTTTTCATTCACTTTACAATATCCTAAACATTCTAACCCCTATTTTCTTGTTGTTGTTGTTGTTTAAAGATGACCGGTAAAGGAATCTTAACCCTTGACTTGGTGTTGTCAGCACCACGCTCTCCCAAGTGAGCCACGGGCCGGCCCCTTATTGTTGTTTTTAACTCATTATGTTGAGATGTCAGCTTAAGACTTGCAAAAGTCACAGAGTTCCAGTATACCCTTCACCCAGCTTCCCTAACTGCTAGCGCTGTATGTAACCATCGTTCAGTTGTCGCTGTGACCTTGCACAGTCAGAAGAAGACCACGCAGAGGGAGCCTCATATAACTATAAATTCATAGCCATGAACCTCAACTTTGTGCTCACAATAGTCTGGCACTGGAGTTTCTGTAGTCAGTCCCTTTCCCACTCTCCGAAATAATTTCTTCAAACCTCTTACTCTCTTCAAAGCTCCACCCCTCACTGCCAGCTTATGACCTCTCCTGCTGTTAAAAAGAAAA